ATGTGAAAATAAAAATTAATTAATAAATTAAATGTATTTAATAAATAAAATTTAAAATATAAAAAATACAAATAAATAATATATTTTTAAATGTATTTAAGTTCTGTGAATGTGAATTTGTGACCCTGGAGCACAAAAGCAGTCATAAGTAGCAAGGTTATATTTGTAGCAATAGCCAAAAATACATTGTATGGGTCAAAATTACCGATTTTTATTTTGTTAAAAATCATTAGGATATTAAATAAAGATTATGTTTCATGAAGATATTTTGTAAATTTCCTACCGTAAATATATAAAAACGTAATACAAACCACCAAACTGTTCCCGACCAGCGCCAGCGCGAAGATAATCACGTACATCACGACAAACATGGTCTTCGCTCCAGCAGGGAGCTCGGGGATGTAAACCAGAGGCTGGATGTTGTAGGTGTCGATGAATTCCCGACGCGAGAGGTTGTAGTGCTGCAGGAGTTCCTGGAGAACCTCCGGAGTGATCTTCGTAGTGGCCGTCATCTCTGTAGAAGAAGACATGTCGGTTTTCAGTTTATACTCAGGGCAAAAGTATAAGTCCAGTGATCCAGTGAGGTTTAGTGAACTGTAATTGAATCCCGCTGCTCCTGTCAGGCTGCTTCGCGTCTTCTGCTGTCTGTGCGTCAGTGCGCGCTCGCTAGTACGCACTGCATCTGCCGAGAATAGATAGACTACTTTTTTTTTTTCTTTTTTTTTGTAGTGTTGTTTAAATCTTTGACTTACACCTCACGACGTCAAACTAATTTCCTTATTTTCTACCACTAAACGTTAAATAATATCCTAATTAAATATCTTTTAGAATTCCTAGGTTATAGTAATGTGAAATAAACGTTTTCAAATAACATTTCCACTCTCATTCTAACAAGACTAGCAGGTTTGGGTACCAAATGTTGGAAGGTGCTTAAAGTTTGCCCTTGCACAAACTAAGGCTTTAAAAGTTCTTAGCATAAAGTCGTAATAAAGTCATGGTATTAAATGTTGCATGCACTGCAGGAAACTGAGTATTTAGGTTTTCCAGTAGATCCATTAAATCAAGATACTTGAGATGCAAAATGAAGATATTAAGTCTTTTTTTTTTTTTTTTGAGAAATTGAACAAAATTAAGCAAGGTATTTAAGAACCGATATCTGACGGCAGGGAATGAAAACTAGTTTTTCCTTTAAATTAAGTTGGTTTTTCTGAGCCCATTGGCAGATATTCTTTTTTTAATCATAAACTTTTACTTTCTCGTATTTTTTTCTCTCCAAGTAAATCCAAGTGAATGCATCTTGATTTATGCTATGATTCTTTTGCACTGGAAAACAAGACAAAACTACAGGCTAAACACTTTTTTTGCAGGAAAAGTACAGTAAAATATAATTCCATATTCTAGTATTTGGGATCAGTGCTATTCAAGCATTAAGCTGGGTTTTTTGTTGTTGTTGTAGTATTACAAAGGAGATCTGTTGAAGTTGCATTTTCAAACTTTTAAGCGTTGCTAACACATCTCATTGTGTTCTCCCTAGACATTAAATACGGGAACGTTAGAGGAACATTCTGTGTTTGCTGGTCTAGTCACAATTCGCCTGACAATTGATAATGCAATCAGCAGATTGAGGCTATTAGTCTTCCTTCCATGTTGTGGGGTGGGTGGACGTGCTTGTGTTAATTTAAATTTGTTATAGTTTATCTAATATGTTTAATGGGAAATGTGCCTTTGTTGCTTCACAAAAAGTAATTTCCAATTATTTCTGTGCATCCAGTCAGCATGGGCCAATTTATGACAGCGGAGTTGGAAATTTAGGTATTAGAGTTTGCTCTTCATACTGTAGCATATGTGGTGATGATACTTCAGAAGGACACACTTCACGTGGTGCAGAAAATTACAGCTGAGTGGTCATGATTGATGTGCAAAAGTGGCGCTCACTATTGCCATACAGCAGAAATCTGACGCTGCATTGCTTTGGTTAGTTTAGATCCTTTGAGTGGTTTCCTTAGGTGAACAAGCGTATGCAAAATCCAGATTTAATCTCTATAGCCTATGTGCATTAACCTCATGCTTTGTGGCAATTGTCTTTAATTTGGCCTTCATAGAGACCCTAATGTTGAATTTCCAAAAATGCATTTACAAAAATACAAAGCAACAGATAGGAAGTCTTAGCATGTGAAAACTGTAGAGTCAAGAGGCATTTATTTGTCATTAAAAATGCTTGTGACGAGGCTCAGACTTAGTTATTTTGACAAGACTATACACAAATATAGTAAACATGACCATATACAGTACAATTAGGCACAGACAGGTGGAGGGCATTGGTAGAGTTCAGTTTTTGTTTATAATCATTTCTCTGCGTCAGCCTGATACTTGAATCTGAAAGATGATTTATAAGCTACTTGAAGGGTCTCAGAGCGCAAACTTAAAGGTTAATGCATTTACATGGACTCAGGACTGCTTCAAGTGGCTTAAAATAATGCAAAACGAGTCGGCCGAGGTGTTTTAGCAGTCCTCAGCTCTGCTATTGAAGCTTCAGGCTGTCTTTGTTCAGAGTCTCCAGGCAACGACAGCAAACAGAGGAACACAGTAAACTGAGGTGAGCTGCGCATTTCAAAGTATTTCTACTTATAAGTTACATTACCTGTTCAAAAACTGATTAATGCATGAAGACTTTTGTGTCTAAATTGCAAAAATGATGACGTATTGTCTGTGAAATTACATGCCGGTTGCTTTGTGTCAAAGGAAATGAGTGGAAATGCTTTTATCTCTGACTACTGGTGGACTTTTGTACTGTAAAAGGACCCGAGCATTTGGGATATTTGACATTTTTTCCTTCCAGAGATTATGGAGCCATCGGAGGAGCAGGTGAATGAAGCTCTGCTGCGGACAGACCTGCGGACCAGTCCTGAATCTGTGCGTCAGGAGAAAGCGCTGTGTGAGACGCCGGGCACGAGCAGGACCTCCACTAGAGGCAGCCTTCGCTTCGGGAGCCTCAGCCATCATTCCTTCTTCTCCAGACACAATCCTCATCCTCACAGAGTCAGACACATGCAAGGTGAGCCGCTCCGGACGCACAGACCTGTTCAAAAACATGTTTGTGTTTGTCATTTTAGGGAAGTATTTCTATTAAAAAGGTTTCTGAAATCTGCTCCGATCAAGATCAGACACTTCTTTTGATTATAATAACTTGATTATTTACACAATGAGGTTAAACGGGTTCAGTGAGGGATTGACAGTAATCATGTATGAGGATGGGCAACTTTTTTGTACTATTAAATTAAAATATATGTGAACATATATTTACATGACCACATAGAAAGAAAAAATATATTCATATTCAGATTTCACATTTGTTTTTGTGTCCGCACTTCCAGATATGTAAGAAAAAAATTTATAAAATCAGGCATTATTAAAGCCTGTCTTTATACTGAAGCTCTGGTTAATTAATTAATTAATTTGATTAATTTTAGGTGTTTTTCGGTGTCAATTATGTCAACTCAATTAAACAATTTGCTAAATAAATTCTTAGAGATTTTCATACTGCAAAAAATGATTTTCTTTCTCAGTATTTTAGTTTGTTTTCCAGAACAAATATCTAAACGTTCTTGAATGAAGATACATTTACTTAAGAAGCAAAATGTCTTGATATTAAGCCTTGTGTTCTGATCAAATGATCAAAATGATGTTAGTTGATGCTTAAAATAAGAAAAAATTATCTGCCAATAGGGTCAGAAAAAGAACTTTAATTTAAAGGGAAAATACGTTTATTTTTCTTACCCCATTGTCAGGCATTTTTTCTTATTTTAAGCATAAACTCACAACATGTTGATGCATTTGTCTGAAAACAAGACTTGTATCTTTCATCATTTTGGTTTTCAAGTAAATGTATCTTGATTTATGAATGTTTAGATATTTGTACTGTAAAACGAGACAAAAACAGGAAGGAAATCTTTTTTTCTTCTTCTTTTTTTTCTCATTTTATGTAATGACTTCTGCATTTAATGCATGTGTGATGTGCAAAATGATCATATTTTCTTCAATAGATGGATCAGTCCGTTTATAACCATCCTCTAAATTCATTCTTAATGTTAAATGCTAGATTTGTCATGACACTGCGTTATTGACAGAAAGTGTTGACATATAATGAGTGATAAAGGCAAGGAGAATGTATATTTTGTGATAAAAGCAGTAGGTAAATGCCTGAAAGATTAATCCAACATAATTTTTTTTTAGTACAAAAATATTCATTTCTTCATCTTTCATCCTGTTGTCACAGCACTCGAGGCTCACTGCATTGTAAAATATGCCTGTAGCAGCAGGAGTCCAGACACAGAGGCTGTTTTGTGAGGTTTTAGGCTCACAAAAGCATAATAAAGGCACCTGAATCTATCAAAAGCCCCGTAGCCCTTCACGAGGAAAGCACCAGCATGTTCATCTCTTCTCTGAATGACTTTAATGAAGAGTTACTGCATAAACACACAGTTTGTCCTCGCCAACAAACAAGACTGATTTACATACTTCCAACGGCTAGTTCTTCACGCTGAATGCGAGAGAGTGTGAATGAGCAGGTCTGTATTTGAAAACCTGCCCATGAGTTACTAATTTAGACTGAAAATATGTTGTACGATCATAGTAACGTCAGGCGAGAGAGTGAAATCAAGCCCAAACTGGCCTTGGTCTCTATGAATATTCCTGCAAAACTCTGACTTGAGGTGTTGCTTTGGGCAATTTATTTGCGATTGACAGCATCTCGGACCTCACAGATTCTCATCACAGATGGTTTCTTTGATGACTTTCTGCCTGCAGAACCTGTTTTCTCTAGCAGCTGTGTGTAACTTTACTGTATTCCTGTGAAGAGCTTCGGCCACAGCAGGAGTCCAATGCGGTTTAATGCGGGTTTAATGCATGTACAGATGGTCTGAATCCTGGGAGACTTGAAAGTCAAAGTTAAGCCTGATCACATTTCCAGCACGGATTTCTAATGGTCTCCTCTTTCTGTAGGGTTGAATGGTAAGCCGGTTTGTACGGTGAATGATGACTGGTACGGCTTCACTCCTCTCTGTCCGCATCCACTCATTAAAAGTCAAGTGTCTGTCGGTGGGAGCCGTTGGTCGGTGTTTCTCACACCTGAGATCGGCTCGGATCGCTCTGGACCACGAGCAGGTATTATACAAACATGAATGCTGCTTTTGTGTCTAACAGAGATAGTTCACACAAAAATGAAATTTGTGTCCTCATGTTGCACTGACTTTATTTCTTCAGGGAACACAAGAAGACATGCAAGACTGAATATTCATAGTCTGTCGAGCTCAAAAAGTACTTAGTGACAGACTTTTTCATTGAAAAGCTTCCAAATCATATTTCAAATTTTTGGGGATTAAATTTTTTAAGTGAAACACACAACGTTTGATACATCAACTTGCTTTTTACTTTTTATGACAGAGAGAGAGAAGAAATATGCATACGCATCCATTTTTTTTTATTTCTATTTATGTAAATGTTCTATATATGCATATATTTTTTTCTTCAAAAAAACGTTTGGCTTAAGTT